TCTCAGAGAGTCTTCCAGTTTCTTATCTCCACCCCTTACCAGGGAGGTCACCAAGTCTTAATAGGCTCCTAGCCTCCCTCACATCTTCCCTTTCTTCTCCTTTTCTCCCTGCCGCCCCTACCCCCACAATCTACCTCTATACCAGCCAATCTGATGCTCACACTCCTGTTTACAGTCTGCAATGCCCAGAATGTTCTTCCAAGATGCTATTTGACTCCAGTGTCTGTCCCCACTTCCCATGGCCAGCCCACCCATGCCTCTTGGAGAGGCCCCAGGGCTCTAACCATACTGAGGCCAGGCTGCTGTGGGACAGAGCCTGCCCAGGTTCTGGTGGTGTCTGTCCAGTGCACTCTTCGGAACTGGGATTCAGTCTGCCTGGAATGCGCTTCCCCTCTGCGCTGCCAGCAGGTCATCATCAGCTTTCCTAGCTAGATTTTGGCCCTGGCACTGAATGCCCAGGGCTCACCACCATCTTGCTGCATCTCTAACTCTCTGCCTACACGGACCGCAATGCATTTGAGTTTACTGGCTGGTGCCTTGCCTGACTGCTCCTCCTTTGTGTCCCTTCATCTCTCTCCTCCACTCCAAGGGCTGCACAAGGAGCCTGGGAGAGTAGGTCCCCGCTTGCCTGCTGCATGAACCAAGGGCTGGGGACTGCTTTGTGTCTGTGAGCAGTGGTCATCACGGCGATGCTGGGACATCCCACAGCCACATCCTAGTGCCCATGAATTTGCAGTGCTCAGCTAGGGGAGAAAAAAAAAATGACTGGAAGAGAAAGGAGCCAGAGGCTACTTATTTGGTGGAGTTTGGTCAGCAAAGGCAGCATGTGAGGAAGGGAAAATGAACCATGAAGTTGAGGGGCAAGGTGCCAGTTTCGCTGGTGTGACAGGAAAGGACATCACTGGGCTAGCTGAAGGTGCTCTTTAGTCGTTTGCAAGGCAGGGACAAGACTGGGGGTTTCCAGCTGGGTGGCCTCAGCTGATCAGGAGTTAGGAGGCTTGACCTGAGCTCACTCTGCATGGTTGATGAGGCACAAGATTGGACAGGGGCTCTCACCTGGTGGTTTTTTTTTTTTTTTTTAAAGAATTATTTTATTTTATTTATTCATTCATTTATTTTAATTTGGCGAGAGAGAGAGAGAGAGAAAGCCACCAGGTCCAGGACTTGAACTGTGGTCAGCCATGTGGGGGTATCCAGTGCCTTAACCACTATGCCACCCACTGGTCCCTGGTGGTTTTGTTTTTTGAAGTTGACCCCAAGAACAACAGACCCTACCCCCCAATCGCCCTCTAGGACCTCTGCTGGCCCCAAAGCCCTTGGCCACTCTGGGTCAGTCTCCCTTTTCGATCTGGCTCTCCCCTTCATGCTAGCCAGGCCTGGCCCTGGCCAACCTCTCAGTTCTTCCCCACAGGCCTGCAGGATGATGATCTGTGCAGGAGATAGACAGATGGGAGTGGACTTTGTTGTCAGTGGGTGGTGGGGTGGGAGGTGGGGAGGGTAGGGGGTGTGGGCTCCCTGCGGGGCATGGTCATGCAGCAATCCCTTCTCCATTTTCCATCCTGCCAGGATTTGGGGCACGTACATATAAGTGCCTGGCATGTTTCTCAGGATGCTGGACCCTGGATTCTAACGTGGTTGTCTGCGTGGGATCAGGTTTACCATGTGCAACACTTAAGCGTTGTGCTATGGGGCTGACCCTGCTTTTGTTTTTTAAATTAGCAAATAATCATTGTATACACCTGTGGGGGATACATTCATGGGGGATATTACATGACTTTTAAGTGCCTGAATGCAGTGTGCAACGATTAAACCAGGGTAAATTGGCATACACATTATCTCAATCATTTGTCATTACTTTGTATTGGAACAATCAAGACCCTCTTTTTTCAGTTATTCTGAGATTTACAGTAGTTGTTTTAACTATATGAGAAAGCCTTCAAAAGGTCATGGGAAATGGGCATTATGAAAAAATTATGCATAGATTTCAATTTTTGCACCAAAACATACTTGTATTTGTTTTACATGTACTTTTCTTTCTTTCTTTCTTTTTGAGACATTTTTGCTATAGGGTGTGTGCCCTGAGCACAGAGAGAGACAGAGAGCGAGAAATCATCCCCCAACAGGGATGGCCACACGGTAATCCCTTCTCCTCCATTCTCCTCTTGGGATCCTGGGCATGCACACACATGTGCCCGGCGTGAGTTTAAGCCACCAGGTCCGGAACACGAACTGTGGTCCACTGCCTGGGAGTCCAGCAACATAGCCATTATGCCAACTGCTGGTCCCTTTACACGTACTTTTAAAGTCAAGTCCCTTAGTATTTTCCTCAGTGTATGTAAAAAAAACAAAAAAACCACTAGAAATTGTTATCTTTTTTTAAAAAGAATTATTTTAACTTTATTTCAATTTAACCAGAGGGGAACAGAGAGAGAGAGAGAGAGAGAGAGAGAGAGAGAGAGATAGATAGATAGATATGGGGGGTGGGAGAAGTGAGAAACGAAGTCACCAGGTCCAGGACTAGAATAGCCATGTGGGAGTCCAGCACCCTTAACCACCACGCCACCTGCCGGCTCCAAAATTGTTCTTATCTATCTGTAATTTTGTTCCAATCAACATCCCTCTGTCCTGCCCTTCCCCAGAATGGGCTTCCAGAAGCTCACGGTGAAATAAAGAAATATGATGGTCTCTTAACTAAAATGAAAAATAGGGGACCAGCAGATGGCATGATTACATCCCTGGACTCCCACGTAGCTGACTGTGGTTTGAGTCCAGGACTCTACGGCTTAAAACTCATGCTGGGCATGTGTGCACGTGCATGCCCAAAATCCCTAGAGGAGAATGGAGGAGCAGGGATTGCTACATGGCCATCCACACTAAGGGAGGGATTTCTCTTTTGTCTGTCTTTCAGGTGAGTACACATGCCCTATAGCAAAAATCTCTCTAAAAAAAAAAAAAAAGGCAAGATAAGGCAGTGCCTGAGAAGAGCTGTAGTTGATTCAGAACCAGACCAAACTGCAGGCCTTAGTAAGAAAAGGATGGAGGGCAAGCGTGTGGCCTGGTGCTTAAGGTAGATGGATCCCACATGACCATGGGAAGAATGAGTCCCAAACCCAGCACTTTAAAAACATGCCCATCAAGTGTGTGCCCAAAATCTCAAGAGGAGAATGGAGGTCAAGGGATTGAGGGCAGCCATACCTCCTTTGGGGTGGGGGAGTGCCCTCCCAGCATAAGTGCCCTATAACAAAAACTAAAAACAAAACAAACACCGGCCAGTATGTGGTGTGGTGGTTTAGGAGCTGGACTCGCACACAGCAGACTGCGGTTTGACTCTCAGACCTGGTGACTTGCTTTCTTTTTCTCTGGTAAATTCACATGCCCTATGGCAAATTACAATAATAATAAATTAATAATCCTTAAAAAAATTCAAAGGATGGAAAATATGAACTGCTACAGAAGCCCTTGGAAAGGTGCAGAGGTGCTACAAGTGTAAGACGGAAGGATCCTAAGAATCCCGATCTGATCTTTGTTTTAAAGTTTTACTGACAGACCCACCCAGCATCAGGTGTAGAAACAGGTCAGTGGAGGCCTGACAGAGGTCTCTGGGTCAGGCAACACCAGAACCTAAGCAGGCTCTGTCCCACAACAGCCTGGTCAACCCCCGCTTTTGGCTGCTGCCAAAAACGGAATTTGAGGACACACAGCAGGTGCCTGATATTAAGGGTTTGGTCCCAAACGCGGGAGTTATTTGAGATCAGTGGCCGCACCCTCGTAAATTACCTAACGCGCAGCTGAGCCAGGGCAGGCCACGGTTGAGATGCCTGCCCAGCCCCACCTCTCCAGCAGTTCGCCCTTTGCTCTGAGAACACCGGCTCTCCGTGGAGCAGCGGCGGTAGCAGGGGCGCGGCCTGGGGACTTAGGGGACCCCGATGCCCACCAGGTTCCTCCCTTCCCCGTGGGGGTTGAGTTCCAGCCCTCAGACCCAGGCTGGCCAGGAGTCTCCGTCCTCGGAGATGCGGGGATCCGCCTGGCGCTCTGGGTGGCGGGGACGCAGGCTATAAAGGTCACGAGTCTCTGGGACACCTCCAGGCGGTTACCGGGACCGGATCTTAGTGTCCCGGGCGGTCTGAGTTCGCCAAAGTGAAAAGCAGGAAGAGCGCGGAGCCATGCTGTGTGGCCAGGCAGCTAGCGAGGTTGCCGCGGCCCCTTTAAGACGCCCC